CAACTACAACAAAATCGAAATTGAAGTCAACAATGTTCGAATAGAAATTAAAGCAGTTTCTAATAATAAATACTTAGGAGTCTATATTGACAATTACTTGAAAAGGGATATTAATATCAACTTTGTGACTAAAAAACTGAAGATGCTATTGCATACATTTAAATTTTTCTCTCAAATATTAAAATGGAATGAGCTAAGAACATTATATTACGCTCTTGATGAAACTCATATTACTTATTCAATTATTGCTTGGGGCGGCGCACTTGATTGTCACATAAACAAATTAAATATTACTCAAAAATGGCTCATAAAGATCTTAATAAAAAAACCGTATACTTATCCAACAGAACATCTCTTCGAAGAGAGTAAATTCTTTGATGCTAGACAACTGTTCTGTTAAAATCTTCTCATACGCCAGCATCACAACAAGAGAGAACTAAAAAAAAAGGAACATAATCATAATACTCGTTCAAGGCTACATACTTTTACTTTACCCAAAGTAGAAAAATCAAATACGCAGAGAAGTTTTTGGTACATGGGTCCAAAATTATACAATAGGCTTCCTGCAGAAATACAAATTATTAATTCTAAAACACTTTATAAAAAAAACAATGGATATTACAACATTCTCGACTAACTATACATGCAATGATAGAAAATTACTTTATTTAAAAAAAAAAAAACTTATATTATCTACTTTGTAAAAAAAAAAAAAGATTATATACTCACCTAAAAAAAAATATTTCATTTTCGTGGAAAAAAAGTAAATTATTTCAAATTAAAATATTAATTTTATCATGTTTATTGGTTTTATACTAACGGACCACAGACAGGTTTTCCTTGTGGAATGTACAATACACCCAATAGATAAACGGTAAAAAACAAAAATTAAAAAAAAAAATCAAAACCATTTATTTATTTAGATACAAATTTATTCCGATAATGGAACATATATTAAAAAAAAAAAAAAATATTTTACATATATTTTCATGTTTGTTTTTTTTTTATTTCTATTTAAATATTATATCACATACAAGTGGTCTAACACTACTTTTGTGATTATTTATGTTTGTTCATTCTTTGTACTTTATGTTGTTATTTTATATTATATTTGTATGTTTTTAAGATGAATAAACATTATTATTATTATTATTATTATTATTATTAATAAAAATTCTATCAAAACTGCCTCACAGACGAACTAAAAGAGAAAATATTAAACATCGACGAAGATAATAGTGCAAAAAAAGGCATGGTTGTCTACACAAAAACCTAAACATTTACCATCGGCAATGACAAAATAGCTCTTTCAATCTCTACGTTAATTAGAACTGCGTTCTGATTGGCGGAAGATCAAAGAAATCTGGGGCCCAAGATTCTCATCCTGTATATACTGGATCAGGACTTGTTTGACTTATACCGTCCATCCCCCTACTTTATAAGACATCTCTGCAGGGTCTTCAGCGACAAAAAGCATAAAATTTGCAAAACAAACTTTCGAAGAGCATGAAAGTTTGAAATGTAATCATCATTTATACAAAGTGTTTTGCATTTTCGTCACTTGATGTGTGCATTTGAAGTATACTCGACCTGTGAGCGCTTCCCCAATTTCCGCAAATGGCAATTGGGGTGGCGGCCGTAGTAGAAGTCGGGACAGAAACTAAGTTTTCTTGATTTCTGGTCGAACTGAAGATCAAACCGTGACGTCAGAGATTGAACACAATATTTATGAATTCACAAAAGACGACTTTCGCAGACACACAAAGACAACTCAGGTTTTAACATTTTTCCAGCGAAGGCTAGACCTAATTAACGCACGATATAAAAAAATTCAAAACACTTACCGCTAACAGCTTAAAAATCCAAAAAAAAAGCAAATAATGTCTTTAGACAAGGAGTTGCAAAGCTCGCAATATTATTGATTCAATCAGAATTGCAGGAATGCTGGTTCATCTGAAGAAATACGAAAAAATATTTTCATTAATTTGAAAAACAAATTAACTGTAAATAAATACTTTTAAAACTAACTAAATCAATCATGAGGATGTTGCTGATGGAAGTCTGAGCGGTAACGTCAATCGCCAGATCTAAAATATCAGAACCTAACCGATAAGACCTGCAAATTTGCAATACACTAACAGAGGCTATGACTAAATAAACACACAGACAAAAAAACAACCTTGTTTTTTGCGCTAGTTTTTCAGGGAAGATACAGAAAAATACTTGCAGTGGCGGCTATTGCATTAGTACTGTTAAGCTGCAGAACTGCCAAAAAAGTATCTTGTTCGATCGGCAGGGTCACAGACCAAACGCCAAAGTCATATCGCCCCATAAGCCTATCCTCCTTCCTAGTTCCTATAAGAGACGAGATACTAAAAATAAATCCGCTTCATCTCAACCAATATGCTTACCAGCCAAGAAAGTCAACTGACCTAGCGCTGGACGATCTAAACAGGCTACTTTCAAAGTCAATAGATGACAAAGAAATCGCAATAGCCACTTTCTTAGATATCAAAGGAGCTTTCAACAGTGCCTGAACCAGGTCAATAACCAAGGCACTAGAACAGAGAAACGTCCCAGTTAAAATATGTCAATGGATCACTGCCTGTCTAGAGAACAGGATCATTTTATCCACTCTAGGAAAGGCAAAAGTTACACGGGGCTGCCCACAAGGAGGAATATTATCTCCAATGCTGTGGTCAGTTCTTGTGGACGACTTACTCAAAACATCGTCCAAAGAAGGCTACCAGTGTCCAGGATACGCAGACGACAGTAATTATCGTCAGGGGGCGATTTGCAGGCACAGTCTCGGAGCGATCTCAAACAGCTCTAAACATAGTGAACAACTGGTACAAAAAGAAACAATTGTCCATTAACGTACAAAAAACAACAGTTGTACCATTCACAAAAAAAACGGGTACTTACAAGAGTGACCACTAGTACTAAACAACACAGTTATCCCATTCGTCACAGAAGCTAAATACCTCGAAGCCATATTTGACCAAAGGCTAACATGGAATCAGCATCTCAAAAAACTCACACACAAAGCTACTATAGCTCTCGTAAGCTGTAGAAGAATATGTGGGAAAAACTGGGGTCTAAACCCCAAAATGACCATATAGTTATACACAAGGGTGATAAGACCCATGATAACCTATAGCACAGTGACGTGGCTAACCAAAACAGCACAGGCAAGTGCAATAGGCCAACTCACTGGCATTCAGCGGCTCGCCTAAGTGCTACGGTCATGTGCACTATGCCAACTGCAGCAATGGAGGGACAAAACCCAATAAGCCAACTACATAGCGCCGACCACACAAGGCTATATCTACGTAAAAAGGAATAATATTCTAGCTATGCCTACTGATAGAGCCATTACCACATACACATTTGAAGGAAACTTTCAAATTCAAATAGCAGCCCGAGAATCCTGGAAACAGGGACCTTCCGTACTGGCTGAACTCGACTGGTACACAGACGGTTCAAAAACCAAGGAAGGAGCCGTAGGTGGAATCTATAGACCCTAGTCGAAAACAACGATTTCGCTGAGTTTAAGAAAATATGCAACTGAACTAATAGCCATACAACACTGTGCAAGATAAATACTAAATCAGCCAGTATCAGGCAAAACTATTCCCATATACTCTGATAGCCAAGCAGCTCTAAAGGCAATTCTCTCACCAGAAATAAAATCACGACTGGTGAAAGACTGCATAGAAGACCTGGCAGAGCTAAGTAGCTAAAACAAGCTGACCTTAGCCTGGGTGCCAGGCCATGTGGGATATTATAGCAACGAAAAGGCCGACGAATTAGCTCGAGAAAGCTCAGATAAGGCAATGACAGGCCCCGAACCCTTCTGTGGAGTTGCTAAGGCATTGTGCAAGGCATTCATCAAACATTAGATGCAAAAAGAGTCTCAGGAATGGTAGAACAACTATCCAAGACTAAGACAGGCCAAACAGTTCATCAAAGAAACATCGGCCAAGTTCACGAAAGACCTACTGGATCAAAAGCGTCAAATCGTTAGAATAACAGTAGGTCTTTTTACTGGACACTGTCGCCTTAAAAGGCACATGAGTGTCATCAATCCAGCAAAAGAAGCAACTTTCTGCAGGATCTGTAAAGAAGAAGAGGAAACGTCATTCCACGTCATGTGCCAATTTGAAGGCCTGGCTGGAATGAGGTTTCTAACATTGGGCGAAGAAAAGCCAAATGCATACAACTACATGCGGGAGCCACTATCAAAGCTACTAAGTCTAATAAAAAAGACCAAGCTGGACGACTTACTCTAAAACAAACGGAGTCTCACAATAGATCTGAAAAGGTCGCGGTGGATAAGGACAAATAACATCCAACTCCCTATCTAATCTAATCTAGATCAGCGAGCTTTGACTTTAGTCGATCGCATATGTTGTTTCGATTTCGGTTTTGTAGATGTAGAGTAAATTATTCGTTGGTATTAATTATACCAGCGCCAGCGTGCGTTTTCATTGTACATGAGTATGTTTGCTGCTAAAAAAAATCGTAGAATAGAATTAATGTATAAAAAGTAGGTGAATAAAAGCTATAAAATATTTGCTTTTTGGGGGAGGATCTGGCAAAACATCCATTGTCTTTAACCGCAAGCCGCCACTGCAAAATTATGTACAACCAATTTCGAAATGCAGTCACAAGATTGGTATAATGTTCAATAGACAAAGAGATTAATAAACAACGCAACAAGAGTTAAGAAAAATCGACCATGGCTTTGACTTAGAAGCCAGCAGCATAGCTGTAATTCATGAATATTTTTATTTTAATGGATTGTGTAAATATTTTTAAAAAGAAATAGATGATTTTATTTTATGAACACTTTGTTGTCATGGCTGGAGAAAAATTAAAAAGAATCTGTCTCGTTTCTAATTCTTGTAGAAGAGAGATTAATTATTAATATTTTATATTACAATATTGTTACTGAAATTAATATTTATAATAAAATAATCTGTTTTACATTGTTTCAGGATCCTCGGTTTAACAACGAAGTGGATCTTCGAACAGGCTACAGAACGAATCTCATTCTCTGTATGCCAATATGTAACTACGAAGGCGACGTCATCGGAGTTGCCCAGATTATCAACAAAACGAACGAATCTCAGGAGTTTACGCCGCAAGATGTGGAAGTATTTCAGCGATATTTAACTTTCTGCGGTATCGGCATTCAAAACGCACAACTCTTTGAAGTTTCTGTGTTGGAGTATAAACGAAATCAGGTACAGTGTTGAATTTTAAGTTAATTTTACAAATTTAAACGGCTGCAAAAAATCACTTGCAGATCTTCCATTACTCAATTAGCCTAAGGTCTCAAAAACCCACAGTGATCCACTGAACTTTATACAAAATTAAAGACTTTTTTACCTAGTCGTTGTAAACTTTATTAGTTATGATTATTACTTGAAACATTATGGTTATGCTTAGATGATTCTGGAATTCTTCGCAATCATATTTCAATAAATAATTTACAATAGAATTGTAATTATAAAGATTGAGCATTACCTTTTCTTTAATTTCCTTTTGCATAATATTGCTCTATTTATGTTTCGTCTGGAAACAAATAAAACATGACAACATTAATATGAACATCACTGGGACATATTAGGTCCTGGATTAGATTGTAGATTGTGCGATGAATCGTTTGCTAAATGCCTTACTTTACTGCAACTTAGCAAGATTTATTAAATAATGGAACTAATTATATAACTTTACCCTATCTGAAAAGGGACAGGAGACGCAGCACCGATGGTAGGCTCCTGAAAAATATGACCGAGTGTTAAACTGTCAAACAGTAATAGCAACTCAAGATTCGCTGGTTGGATAACATTCTAAAAATATTGTCATAGTAGTCTAATCAGTGCCATTTAAAACCACAATTCCATTACAGTTGATTCTCCAAATATTCCTAATAAGAAAGATTTTGTAATGTAAGTCCATATAATTGCCATTGCTCTCTGGATCTGTCGAAGAATATTGATACAACCTTAGTGGGATTAACCCTAAAAAAATAAAACCTTTACATTCCTTGCCTTTATTGCATTTGACGTTATCAAGTATCTATTTAAAGTTTTCAACCGAAACAACTCTTACATAATCTCATAAGTGAAATGTATACACTACTAAAGGACAGCAATTTTCCAAACACTGAATATTTTATAACTTTTCTAGACTTTCGCATATACGAAACCAAAGTGCCTGCCAAAGTTGTAAATCCCTAAGGCCGGTCGACGTCTATCCACATTTAACTTGTTACTTCTGAATGGAGGAGAAATGGATTGACGCTAATGTTATGTAATACAGGGAAAAGAGGATATCTACTAAAAAATTTACGTTTACCCTGTTTGTAATTAGATTTTTTTATTTAAACGTCAAAGTTGATTTCATATAACGATAAAGAAGTCTTTTTTTTTTTTTTTCGTTTCTTTTCAATTTAGATTAAACCTTATATTTATCAATTATCATCCATTAAGTGAGAGTGTTAGGGAAAAACTGAACAAGAAAAGTAATCAGCAGTAAATTTATTTGCCTACTGATTGATGTTAACCCTATCCAAAAATATGGTCTAATTATTTTCCAAAAAAAGGAAATAATTCCAAACTCAAATGTGACTAGATGTAAAATACAAATAATTCTCAAAGCCATAGTCACAACAATATATGTGCGGCCGTTTTTCTTTCGACAACAACTACTCCTTTGGCTAATACCTCACCAGGTATTGAATTACGTCGTAATACAGCGGATGGATGGATGGATGAATACATATATCTTCCACCACACTAATTTGAAAAACAGGATCATCAACGTAACTTAAAAATACGCAAATTTTTTGTACATTTGTTAACATACGTTCCATATATTTTTAATTCTCTTAATTCACTGAACATTATTTTCGATAAATCTATACAGGGTGTTTTCAAAGTTGAGTGATTTATTTTAACAGCTTGTAGAACTCGTCAAAAGAAGTCGATATACCAAAAATCACCTAAATAAAAGTTGCATATTAAAAGAAATAAAAAGGAATTTCAAAATTTTATAACTAAAACAAATACAAACTATTTATCCGCATATTTTAATATTCCTGACCACTGCCAAGTAAAAACTTATCTTTGTTTGTTTACTACGACAATTTTACTTATCTAGGTATGGCTATTTTTTTTTGTTTTACGGTTTTGAGAACGATTTTCGGTTAGTTAATGGTATCAAGCGTTTAGTTCGTATCACTTTAATTTCTTTGATATTTTGTACGGAAAAATGGCCCACGTTTATGGAAACAATGGACTAGTGGACATAATACTAACATACGGAGAGTGCCAACAAAATGCAGCCGCAGCATGTCGCCTTTACGCGGAGAGGTTTCTATTAAGAAATCATCCGGCTCGTCCGATGTTTGTAAATTTAGTTATTCGACTTCGTGAGACAGGATACTTAAAAGAACAACGAGGGGATCACGCTGGAAGACCTGCCCAACCTGAAGTGGTAGAAATTGACGAAAATATTTTGGAAATGGTGGAAGATGAGCCAACAATAAGTACCAAAGCCATAGCAACTCAAGTCGATGTTTCCCATAGTAATGTGTGGAAAACAATACGACAGGAACAATATTATCCTTATCATTATCAACGTGAAGATCATCCTAGAAGAGTTGAATTTTGCCAGTGGTTTTTACAACAGTTGAACAGAAATGAAGATTTTACGAAAATAATTTTAGCTACAGACGAATCCACATTTACACGAATGGGATATTCAATTTTCACAACAATCATGTTTGGGCAGTAGAAAATCAGCATGCTCCACCGCATTTCAGAAGAAAAGTTCGTGAATATTTGAATGAACAGTTTCCGAATAGATGGATAAGAAGGAATGGACCTGTTTCTTGGCCTGCACGCTCCCCGGACCTAACGCCTTGTGATTTTTTTCTGTGGGGTTATTTAAAACAGTTGGTGTATCAGTATCATGATGGAAAAGTAAATACTGTGAAAGAACTTCAAGACCGCATTGTAAATGCTTGTGATGTTATTCGCGGACATCCGGATTTTATTTTGGAGGCCTATCAGGAGTCGTAGGTACGCCGAGCAAGACTATGCAATAATCGGACAAATGGTGACAATTTTGAACAATTTTTTTAAAAATGGAATACATTTTACCGATAATGAATGTTTTTAATTTTAAAAAAACCTATAACTCCCTTATTATGCAACTATTATTTAGGTGATTTTTGGTATATTGACTTCTTTTGTCGAGTTCTACAAGCTGTTAAAATAAATGACTCAACTTTGAAAACACCCTGAATAACGCACGAAATTTTTCTACTCAAGTCTCCCTAAGAATGTTGTACACTTGGTCTATCAATTTGCATAAATTTAGTTATAATACACGTACTATTAGCACTGCGGTGAATCTAAAGGTAATATTTGGGAAAGTGAAACCGAGACCGACTTCAAGCGACAGGCAGCAAGCAGAAAATCCTGCCATACTAAAAGTGCTGTTGTACGTTGCGCCGTCCCAAATGTGCTTCATATAATTACATGTGTTCAGACACAAACAGACCGTTTTCGGTCTCCTTCGATGTCGCTTTACTCGGTTTTGCCTTCCCAAATGGTACCTTTATAATAAATAAACTCACAGTTTTCGTAATGGATAGTCGATCATCTGACTAGCGACTCCGTTTAATATACTCACATCAAACTTACAGTCTGTTCGCTATACTTACGCGGGTTTCGGATTAACAAAATTATGCAAATTAGTCATTGACAACGAGTTCCAATAAGTCTCTTCCCAATAAATTATATAAAATTGCTTTAAATTAAAATAACATTAAGGTAGGTACTAAATTTGTTACAAATATTGCAGTTGAATTGATTTTTTGCAAGTGTTGTTGGTTTATAATAGCCACATTAGACTCCATTAATGAAGAATTTTAATTCTGCTCTCAATTATACAAAAGATTCTCCATTATTATTTAATTAAAAAGTTGTACATTATTTTTCATTTCGTTTAACTAGTTGATATTTCCCTAAAGAGTCGAACTTTCGGGTACTTACCTGGAAATACTCATAAAATTTTTAATCCGAAACCCGCGTAAGTATAGCGAACAGACTGTATATGGAATCACTGTGTATTTCTGAATAAACTTTTTGTAAGGAAAAAAATTTGGTATCCAACTTTAAGATAAGGCTTTTTGTTCTAAACAAACATGTTAATAAAGAAGAAACAACTGCTGCGATTTATTATCTTGTGAATTTTGTTTTCAGAAGTAAAATTACGACCCTACGGTAATTTTATTTCGGTCCAAAAAAACAACAAAATGCCTTATGTTGGACTAACAGATGTGCAGAAGGGAAGAATTATTTTCCATTATTTAACAAGGAATGCCCCAATGAGACGTAGTAGGCGATACTCAGGGTGTTGCATCGTAAATATATGAAAGGTACTTGGAACTAGAAACTCTCAATAGCAAGCCACGACAATGTCGTCAGAGAGTCACAACTGAACAATAGAACCGCTTTGTGTGCCAAATTGCTAGAAGAAATCTCAGTGTTTCTCATCTAGAGCTACAACTACAATTTCTGGAAGCTACAGGTGTAAACGTTTCAGTCTAAACCCTAAGAAAGACTTCGCGCTCGATGGTTGTACAGTAGGAGAGAGTTATGGGTCTCACCGTTATCTAGCCAAAATAAAACTGACTGGCTCAATTGGTGCCTTCAACATCAAAACTGGACAATTGAGAATTGGCAAAATATTCTTTTTCAGATGAGACCAGAATTGACCTTAGATCAGATGACCATCGAATTTGGGTTCTCATAGCTCCACGAAGATGAGCGAGGCTCCACACTGCCAGATCTGTCCCAAATACATCAAAGAGAAACTATAATGTTCTGGGGAGGTATTATGCTGAAAGCAAAAACTCCATTGTTGTCACTTAAACAAACTTTAAGCGGTCCAAGGTATGTTGATTTAGTGCTAGAACCAATCGTTAGGCTTCGGAGAGCTGCAATTGGGGATAATTTGATCTTTATGCACGATAATGCACCTCCCCATACCAGCAAAGTGGCTGCAGAATATCTTGAAACAGAAGTTGTCACAGTTTTAGACTGGCCTGCATATTCACCAGACCTAAATCCTATCGAACACTTGTGAGACCAGCTCAAAAGAAGGGTTAGAACTCGTCGAAACAATGCAGGAAAAGTTGCCCAGCTTATTGATGCAGGATTAGCAGAATGGGAAAACATACTCCAAGACAATGTTGACAATTTAATAAAAAGCATGAGGCTAGAGGTGGTAACACGGATTGTTAAAATCACCAATTTTTTGTTTGTTTTTGCTTTTCGGCTATTAAAAATTTAAATCTCATTTCGTTTCAGAAACCAAAAAATACCATTGTGTTTATTTTGTCAACTAATTAATTATTTTTATTGCTATGTGGGTTATTTGTCATTAAAAGTATTTGATGAGTTTTATTCATATAAAAGAAATGTTCATACATCTCAAAAATTATGTATCAAACTCCGAGTGGGTGCTTAAGTACCGAGCAAATCCTACTTACATTTTTATGCATTTCGAATGGAGTTCCCTCTTTAGTTCCAACTGTATGCATATATCCCTGTTTCGGGTCCCGTTCCAATGATTCCAAGATTTAATATCACTGACGAGTTTTACTTTGCTTGTAGTTTTTAGTGTTCAGTGTACTCGATTCCTTAAAGTGTTAAAAAATGAAAAACCTCGGAATAAAAGTGGTAAGTGCGTGAGCAGCTAAGAGCTAAGGGCTATTATTTCTAAGAGGTTGGATTTTCTTTTAATATTTTTGGAGGAACTTGTTTAATATGTTATTAGCGTAAATCAAAAAGAGGAAAACACACAAATAAATTACCAAATATTAAGGGTTGGAAAATTACCATAAAATGTATTCGAGAAATTTTGTAAAATTGGAAGTATTTCCTCATTTATTTACCAGAACAATTAACCAAGATTGCTTGGAATTTTGTTTTGGGAAAGTAAGACAATCTAATGGATTTGAACAATTTTTATTCAATTTATATAAGTTTAAAAAATTCTGAGACAGAAAATTGTGGGCAAGGTACAGATAGTTTGATATTAAAAATTGTTAATTTATCTAGAGAAAGCTAGAAAATAATTGTTTAATCATTTGCTAAGGTTCCTGTAGTTTCTCGTCAATACTGATTATCAAACAACTAACTTACTAAAACAAAAATGGTCTACAGGTGCCTTAGAGTTAATTCTTTTGAAACATATGAAGATTATGCCAATAAACAGAAAGCGGCAGATGCAACAACTTTGTTTTCTATTCTACATTACTAACTAGTAATCAAAGCCAGAAAGGCTACCCGTGAGACTATTGTGCATTCTCGTTCTGACGTCAGTTAAGCCGTGATGTCTCCAGCCACGTCTTGGATTGGTGGCCACTGAACTGAATAGCGGTTAGCCATCGTTAAAGTGAAATGAATGATGATGAATCAATGTATGATGAATGGGAAGGAGTAGGACATCCACATGGTGGCATAATAGGCCATCTGTGCTTCAGTGCCGCCATGCGAACCCCAAGCCTCATTGGAGGAGTCTGCCAAAATCCCTTGGACGGAGGGGTGTCTAAAAGGGTAAAAAAAACTAGGGATTGACCGATTTTTTGTGGCCGATAACGAAATACTCATGGCCGATATCAGCCGATACCGATATACCGGCCATTATTATGAATAAACCACTATAAAAAATTGCTAAGAAATCAAATCGGGTAAACCTCGAGGTTTAGGTTTTTTTTGGAATATCTTTGAAAAACTTACCGGTATGATGAAGTAAATCACCACCTTATATGAGGAAGACTGATACTGATATGATAAATAAAATTGATGAAGGTGTCCTTAAAATTTACATTAAATTAGAGGAAATATCAAAAATAAATATAAATGTGCAGTAATACTCAACACCCTCACTAAGTAGTGTGATTAGTGAACAGCTATTCTCTTCAGCTGGATTTGTTATTGGGCGATTCTTTTAGTGTGGAGACCGGTTGTATCTCAGAATATCTTGAAGTAGATCGCAAAATCAGGTCAATTTTTATTTCAATGGAGGCACATTTCTGTTTTATCCATAAGTGTCATATGTCATTTCCGTCCCCTCCATCACTTTTAACAGTACAATTATTTAAATAGGAAACGTACCAAGTATGACACATCATCGAAAATGTAGTTATGTAAAATTGAGCAATATGACTGTTCATTGCATTACTTTTCATTTTAACGGTCTATAGTGGGATAAAACTTACGTATTGTAAAGTGTGATACTTTATTTGAAATCTAATTTTATTATTAATCTTATGCACTAAATAACATTAACCTAAATGTTTTTGTATTGCACTTGCAACAAAATAAAATCAATCTTTTTTTAAATTAATTTTTGATTTAGTTAACATAATATTATGCAGTGCATTGAATTTCCAATAAAGTTTAGGATAAAAAGGTGTCCCTCTTAAAATAAAACCGACTGTTTTTGCGTTTCTTTAAAAAAAAATCTACTACAAGATATTCTGAGATACGGCCAGTTGCTACCATTAATGAATCACCCAGCACAAAAAATCGTCTAACCTCAAAAAGAGCAGAAAGTTTAATTTCTTCTAATTACTCCAATATAGATCATTTTTGAGAAATCATGTATATGATAAATAGATAATGACATCAGACACCTCTTATTAAAAGAATATACTTTAAAATAGAAAAACACAGCCCCATATAAAAAGGATTAAGTAGTGTTTTTCTCTATAAGGATTTTTTGAGCCAGTGTAACAAACATCATCACGAAAATGGTCAAAACGTTAAGATCTGTTGAAAAAATCATCATTCTCATACTTTTCTTAGTGGTAATTAGAAAGTAAAAATTAACAATAGTATCTAAGTTACCATGAAATTTATTTTTAGAGAAAATAAATAAAAATAGTGTCCTTGGAATTATTGTTCATGTATATTTTCCTCTGTCATGGATGAACTGAATTTGATAACAAAAACCAATATTTTAACTTTGATTGGTTTTAATTTTCTTAAAAACACACAATAATATGTTTTTAAGTTTGTTTATATTAAAAATCTTGCTCAAATTTTATAAAAAAATATAATTTACCAATTTTCATAGTTACATACTTTCAACTATTTGATCCGGGCCCAAACAAGGTAGCTTCCCCAAGGAATTAGTTTCCATCTCAATATATCTCCAAAGTAACTTTTAACTTTGTTCCAATAACTTTATTATATTCATGTATGGGGCGGTCCATAATTTTTTTCTTCTAAAGTTGTTCTTAAATGACAGTTTGTGTTAATCCAATCCAAATCATACTTTGTTTTCTGGCTGTCATAATAGATCTCTAAAAAGTAGTTACAACCTTGAAAGCAGGGTCAAAAAACCATACGTTGCTGATGAGCAATGCCGATGGAAAGGGAGATGCACCTAGGGTCTCTACTCCCTAGAGTGGTCACATGGACTTACACGGTCATTATAAGACCTATGCTAACATAGTAACAGTTGTCTGGGTATCGAAAACCGAACCATTGACAGCTATCCGCAAACTAGAACAAATTCAAAGAACAGCCTCAATATAACAGGAGCCGTAAAAACCATACCGACAAGAGCCATGAAAGTAATTCTTAGTCTCATTTCCCTTTATTTACATTAAAGGGGTTGCTCTGATCATAATGACATGACTTCGCACGGTTGGAATGGAACCTGATGAAGGAGCTGGTGAAACGAGATGCCGCTTTCGGCGAGAGGCGCTTCCATTGCTTTAAGCGAACCAATATATATCTTCCATAAGCCATATAAATTTAGGACGGAACAAATAGAGGAGTAGGAAGTGTCAGGTGCGATTCATGTATACACTTTTAAAACGAAACAAGTCTTAGGAGGTAGAATATATTCCAGATCCTTAAACCTAAACATAAAATGGCCTGAGAGTTGTGAACAGTGAAGTTCAAACCGAACTTACGGGGATTCTCATAGCAGTAAAGAAATTACCACTGGAAGGAACATGCTTATCTATACACATATCAGAGAAGCACTACTTACCCTGGACAGACCACGCACGTACTCAGGGATAGTACTAAAATAGCACGATGCTTTGGCCGATGAATACATCAACATGTGTTCACCTTTAGATAGATCAGAGGTCACGACACATATAAATGTAACCCTTCCACATAATGAAACTGTCACTTCGCAAGGAGTTGCCCGGCGCTCTCATTTATTAAAATATTTGTGTTTGGCGAGTATTAGCTAACATCGGCCAGTATAGAGAAGCATCTTTAGGCGACATTGTTAACTACATTAAATCTGTAGGCTGGCTAACGAATTAAGAGAAATCTTTCAATTTAGGAAGATGAACAATGGGCCTAGTGAGGCCTTAGTGACGGGGGCAATTTACCCTCAACACCTTACAGATACAGATAGTTACATGTTCGATAGGGTATCAACATGTTTTTATAAAATTGGCCTCCTTAAGACCCCTTATAACCACCACTACTTTTGTGTCCGTCAAATTATAATCGTTTGTAAATAATGTTTCATTCAATTTATTTCTTTTTAAACTGTAGATTAATTTATTATCACGGATTTTCATCACGTAATTCGCTCTTTTGTTACAGATTTTGCTAAACTTGGCGCGAAGTATTTTCGAGGAGCAGAGCAACCTCGAGTGTCTCGTCACGAAAATAATGAGAGAAGCTCAAGATTTGTTGAAATGTGAACGATGTGCTGTCTATTTACTGGACTTGGATTGCTGCGAAGCGGTAAGTTTAGTTATTTCCTTTCTCATCCTAAACAAAAGCAAACATTGTTACGTTTGAATCGTTTAGTTGGATATTGTATAAAAGCTTCTTAAAATGGTGTAAAATGGAACAAAGATATTCTGATACTAAAGAGAGATAAAAGAAAATGTATGTACGACATAAAACGCAATTCTCTGAGCAGACAATGCTGCTTAGAGTTGCTCGTTTCATCAGAAAATTCCCACTTGGTAACTGTGAAATGATTGAAACGGGTATGTATATTTACAGCATATCATTGTTGAAAAAAAAAGAATTAAAGGCTTTTTCTACAATTATAGAGAAGAGTTTAAGTTTCATAATCATTATATCGTTATCAGTTAAGAATAATGCATTATTTTATATAGATTTTCATTTCCTACGGTCAAACTGTACCGAAATTATTAAGTTTCTACGGGTTTTATAAGTTACTAAACCAGGGAAAATTTTTCCATGGCGCCCTAGCCTAAGTAAAAGTTTGATTAAATCGTATGTAAAAAAATAAAAATATATAAAACTCGTTATTTAACTTTTTTTACTTTATTATTATTAAATTAATAAATGATATGATGGATGGTCTGTAAATCACTCACACTAGTAGTATTAAATGGATTTTGGGTCTATGCAAACTGTATCGAGTAAGTAGGGTGAGAACAAATAATAGACAACCTCAAACAATCAATTCAGCCAATAAGAAACACGGAAATATTCAAGTGATAAGAATTTTTTTTATTTAAAAACTTATACCTTCACATTTTTTAAATTTAAACATTTTTCAAATTCCAAAATTTTTCAAAATTTTAATTGTTTTCTTGAGTTGGTAAACAACTGTCATCGTTAGACATCTTTTAAAAGTTTATAATGATTCGGTTTTTGATGTTTGAATTGTGCACATCGTTCTTCAACTGAAAAAACTTTTAAAGGTATTTATAAGGGTTTTACTAATATTACCTTTGTTAAATTTATTCCTACCTACTCCTTTTTCTTTCTATTCTATTGTTAGAAATTTTTCCAGTAATTAGGTCTCCCCCAACCTAAAAATGGGGGATCCAGAAGAACCCCCTCCCCCCTCTGATCCCACTTTGACTATTGAATCAGTTTTAAAAGAAAAAAAAATCTTTATTCAGCCTCTGACTCTGGCCCTTACGAGGTTTATGTACAGGGAAATGATAAAAATATTGGGAACTTTCATATAATGAGCATTGCTAAAACAATTTTCGACTTAAATTTAAAACAAATTGTCAAGGTCACCCGAAAAGGCAAAAACCGTATAGGTGTAATTTTTTCTGATATTTCTTCAGCTAATAATTTCATTAATGATAAAAAATGTTAAACATTAAAATATGAGGTTTTTATCCCGAATCACAACATTTCATGTAATGGAATAATTAAAAATGTTTATAAAAATTTCACTGATGAGGAAATTAAAAATTCCATTGATACTCAACTAGCTTTTTGTAAAGTCTTGAATGTCAAAAGAATGAATAGAAGAGTCGCCGAAGTAGGCAAAGAAATAGAGTATGTTCCAACTGGAACTATATGCGTAACCTTCACAGGCAAAAATATACCCAAAGAGGTTTTAATTTGTGGTCTACCAACAAAAGTGACTCCTTATGTTAGTCCAGTCTTGCTATGCCAAAACTGCCTATTATCTGGTCTTAGTTCTCTCCAGTGTAGAAGTAACCCTAGATGTAAAAAATGTGGCAAAGCCATTCATGATGAAACCATTCCTTGTAATATTTCTTGTTTCCATTGTAAAAGTGAGAATCACTCATTCCGAGATCAAAATTGTAAAGAGTTTAAAAGACAGAAAGATATTAAATTTTTAATATCTTTCTCTAATATTACATACTTTGAGGCTAATCAACAGATCCCCAAGAATAAAACTAATGCCCCAACAGGCCTAGATAGGTCTGATTTTCCAGCTTTGCCTAATCAATTAAGTGACAATCGGATTCCTGTTCATGAGAGGAGAGCGGTGATAACTCATCTAACCTTCCATCATATAGTCAAACAATAAAATCTTCGGTTAAACGAAGAAGGCCACATGATAATGGGTATGATAAAGATGTTCATGAATCCCAATTAATTAATCCCTCAGGTAGAGTTACCTGCTCACCCAAAAATTCCCAATTTCAATCTTCTTCTAAATTTTCTCGTGAAGAGGAAGAGAAACAAAAACAATTAGTCCTTAATCAGACACTGTTGAGGCTTACCCCTCAACATAGAGACTTAGTGTTGGCCTTTATAGGCAATCTTATTATTACCCTATATCCCCCCCCCCCCCCCCAAAGTATGTCACAAAACTTAGAAAATGTTACCTCACCAAAACACATATCTCAAAATTATTACCAAATGGATGGGATGAGTTGTTCCGATGATTCGGAATATTGATCCTTTCCACCAAAATTATTTTTGCATTCACTCCACTAACCATTATTCAATGGAATATCATATCTTATAATGTTAACATTGATAATTTAAAAATATTAATTAGAGATTATAACCCTTCAATGAAGTCAGATTAAAATTAATAATGAAATTCCTCAATATTTTTTTTAAATTAACCTATAATTTCCAAAATTCCTTTCTTTTTAGTCCTGGGTGCTGTTACTATCTCCGTTGGTAGCATTTCTGGGTGTGTTAAGCTTAGCTGCTATCCCTAAGCGAGAAAAGTTAATACCTTTGTTGTACTGTTTACCTTTATTAACTACCAAACCCTTAAAAGAAGATTGAAAAAGTGAAGTATTTAAGTTGGTTGAAATTTCCTTTTAAATTAATCAAGAAACAATGTAAAAATGGGGATTGTTTAATTGCCTCGAGCAAGACTTAAAACAGCTGGGTAAATTGTCTCATGGACACAGCCCATTAAAAGAAAAGAAGAAGAAGAAAAGTTTATAATATAACCTACAAAATGGTACTATTCTCGTGCTCTTCACCATACTTTATCAAAAGGGAATTCACCTTTTTTTTGTAATACCATCTTTTTTGTGCAAACCTAGATATCCTTTGTTTGTTAATAATACTTTTTACAATCTGTTTCCTATATTTTACAAAAATTATAACAAGTAAGTCGCAGCTGTAGTTTTATATCAATCAATTGATTAAATTTGTTTTTTTACATTTATCGTGCTCCGATGATGTACTAAAAGCCGAAAGCGTTTGACGAGTATTAATAAAATGTACACACTTGAAAATACGTTCTTCCGTATCATTTATTTATCCATCAGTGTACACACGCCTACAACCTTTAATTAATATTTTATTGGCCTATTTCGGAGATAAGGCAGTACATCCACTACCGAGTCGTAAATACAGTATTGGTTGTCGAACATCTTCCAATATCCCTTGGCACAAGTGCGCGAAAAAACTATTCGCGATTCAAGCTAAGTGATACGCCCTCTGGAGGAAATTTGTAGTAGGTCCGTATAAGTAGGATTTCGTTCAGTGTTGCCAGAAGTAGCAAAACTTCGCTACGTCGTCGGATTTTAGACCTTGAAGAAGTGGATAAGACCTTTTATTTAAAAATTTTTGTGTGGTAATATGTATTCATACTCTATATTTATTTAAGGATTTTTTTATAAAACCGACTTATTATATTGATTTTTTAAAAAATTCAGATCAGGCAAAATTGGCGTTCGTGTTCATTGTTTACATTTTAATTTGTATCAACTACAATTCGAGTTTTATCTTACTTTTTAGCTTTAAATTTGTTTATTTCTTATAGTATGTGATAGTGTTTATATTAAAAATGAAATCTGCGAAAAAGTCCCCAGAAAATTGCAATCTATATGGTGTTAATGTCAAAATCAAAACTGTATTCAATATTTTATAAGGGCAAGTCGTAAAATTTTGTTTTTTACGATAAATGGATATCTACAAATTCACAATATTGAAATTTTACAAAACTTTGTTTAGAATCAAACTGTAATCTGATTTGTGACGGTTTTATTACCATTTACATGTATACAAAGTACTACATGATTCACTTCGTAATTATAAGAATAAGTCTAGTAAGATTTTTAAATAAGTTCATCAATAATAAACGTGTGGTACCTGAAATGTCCTTTAAACCACATAATAAAACAAGTCCTGGGTTTAGTGAATACATATTTCTAGATGTTCTTGTAGCAACCAATAGGTGAATATTTCCAACAAATAAGTCATACACATGATAAATATTATATTTATGACGAAAGCACGAGACTAAACTTAAATTAACACTAAATGAAACTCAAAACACTATTACAATGAGAATATTATCTTAAAACAGTTTAAAAAATTACAAATATAAAATCCGCCCAAAACAAAAACATGTAAATAAACAAACATCCTACTTATAGGTGACAAATGACAGGCGCGCGAAAATTAATTTGAATCGCCAATAGTGAGCAAGTACTAGGTCAAACAGGAAAGGCACAATACCACAGGAATGCCAGCCGGCCGGTTCGTATAAATGACAACGTGACACCACTTCTTTTCCGTTTGCTCCAAAGCCAACTCTCTGTAGCTTTCACTCTCTCTTGTTTTATCGCGTATTGGAAGACACCGAGAAAACGAGATCTATTAAAAATGTTTAATAGAAAAAAATTTGATAATCACTAATTAAATACCGTATTTTGCTAGAAATGTATTAATCTGAAACTGCTGCAATTATTCAATTGTTTAAGAGCCAATAATGTATTTTTAAAAAGCTTTAATATCCATAAGTATCGTGAATTCTATTAAATTTGTTTAATAATATCCATTAAACTCTTTAATACGTTCTAGTAATTGGTTAATAACCCTTAGTAAATATTAACTGTTTTATCCCTTCCACCCGTCGAGGACTCCAGGAAACTAGTATTTTTGCGAGGTCGAAGATTCACGATCACGATACCACGCCACATGCCACTAACCTAACGTTATTCATTTTCTTTTGATTTGTGTTAATAAAAAGGTATCTTAATTGTTGCATGGTTGGATTGTGATACCTGAGCCGGTTG